TAAATTGAATTGAATTGACGCAAACACGGACGATTACCATACGCCTCCGTTGCCGGTTGTACAGTAATTTATGTCAAAATACACATAAATATTGACCCTAAAAAACTGACCTGGAAATAAAGATAAAATGAGTCATGAATGCCCCCACTGAAAGATCAAGGCTATGCTCACACTCAGAGAGCAGCCGTCCTCCTGTGGACTCACCACCTGCAGAGGGTCAGTGAGGGGCTGGTGCTATGAGACTTGGGTGGTATCTCTGACTGCCACCCCCCTGACCCAGAAATGGATTAAAGGGTAGAAAATGGATGGATGGATGGATGGAGTCATGAATGCTACAGACTGAACCACAGAGCATGAGTAGTTGTTAAACATTCCAAGGTTTGGCAAAAGAACGTACCTAGTAAAAAACACCAAAGTATGTATCTGTTTGATGTGGATTATGTAATTCCCAAACCACTCCTGAGTTCCCACTTTTAATAGAGACACAATCTGCAGACATCGGCGTGTGCCATCTGCGTCCCATCTAATCAGGTTTCTCCCAATGGGCTGGCTTTATCTGACCCTTGTGACGGGCCATTACTGTGGGAAGTCATTTAAGATCCAGAGCAGAGAGGAACAGAGCCAGAGCAGAGAGAGACAGAGACAGAGCAGAAAGAGACAGAGCAGAGAGAAACAGAGACAGAGCAGAGAGAGACAAAGCAGGGAAGCTGGTATTCTTTCAGGTCCAATCTAACACACAGCCTGAGTTTCACAACATCCGTTTTAAGGATTCATCCAATTGTAGCTGCAGGGATGTTTTTGTCATTAGTGGAGATAATTTTAAGAAAACTTTAATTTCACAAAATTACAACCCAAAACACATGTTGGGAGCCATGTTAATGATGAATCCTATATTTCTACTGCTCTCATGACTCTCATTAAGACTTTTTTAAAGATAACTAGAGGAATGTTTAACAATAACAATAAACAATGTTGTAGATTTGTGTCAATAAATAATAACTGTTATTATTTGGTAAATTGTGAGAAATCTCCTCTCATTGTTATAGGAATGATGTAACACTCTATTTAATTTTGTGTCTAAGTTCTACCTTCAGAATGAATGATTAGCTTGTGGAGGTGATGTGTGGCACCTCTCTGTTGTAATCCATCACTTTTGCTTCTGCTGATGTAAGTGTGTGTTGAGGCTCGTCCATCTGAAACTCAACACAGTGTGAATAGCTTTAAGAGCGGTACAAGAAGTCCTTGAACTCTAGATGAGGGCAACAGAAACAAAAATGTATGGCCTATATACTGTCAAGTACAGTGCACCCAGGATTACAACACAAGTCATCATAGCACCATGTGATGACAAACACATATCTGTCATTCAACCATGCAATAAAAGTATACTATCATTCAATCACACCCTAACCCAAAAATACACACAACATAATACATAAGTAATTAAGTAAGTAATCTGTATTTATATACCGCCTTTCACAGACCAGAGTCACAAAGCAGTTTACAATTGTTATATTATTATTTTTTTTGGGCATTTGTCCTCTCACTCCTCACAGAGATGGGAGCGGGGTCGCCAGTACAGGAGGCGCATGCCAGACCTATTGTACATATTTTTAGTGGTAGGGGAAACCGGAGTACCCGGAGGAAACCTACGCAGACACGGGAGAACACGCAAACTCCACTCAGAAAGGCCCTAGTCCGACCAGGATTCGAACCCAGGACCTTCTTGCTGAGAGGCAAGAGTACTATCCACTCAGCCACTGTGCCGCCCAAATAAGCCAAGTCTTTGTTGTTACAATATGAAAAACTCAATGATAAACGCAATGCACAGAAATCTTACAACACTTCAACATTCTATAATCAGGCTGTAAAACTGCAAAGGTCACAGTGTGTATCTAAGAACGCAGTCTCGTGGGCCTTTAAGGAAACATGGCCTGCATTTCTGCCCTGGTCCCCAGTGAGGATCCTATCTCCGGCTCCCATTACTCTGCACAGCATGGACCACTTCACGCGGACCACTGAATAGTGACACACACACACACACACACAAAAATAACACAGGCTGGAGAGGAGAGAATGAACTTCTTAAAGCACTGACTGAAATCATGAAATCTTTAATTTATTGTCTAAGTGGATTGTTGAGAAGTAAAGGACAGTTAATTTGCTGAGGATATGCATATAAAGATCTGATGTAAGTAGTTGTCATGTGGTAAAACCCAAAAAACAAAATCCATGGTAATGCCAAAATATAGAACTGAAAAAGGCAGGAACTAACCTGGTAGTATGGTCAATGGATGGACAACAAGTGGGCAAAAGCACAGGGTATAAATACACACAGGAGACACAGTTGAAACACATCAGGGAAAACAATCAACAGGAAACAGGAAGCAAACACAAACAAGAGAACAAATAAAGTAAAATAAAACCAGGTCTATATAATCAAGAACTCCACACCATGATAATATTGGTGTATTATCATGGTGTGAGGTCAATAAATGCTGAACAAGGAATTATCTACAGACTTAAATTTGTCTAAAAAGCATTCATTCACTTCATACGTGACTGTCATTGGCAGTTATCATTTGTGGCACTCCAAAAATGTCAATATCGTCACATGACTTGACCATAAATCATCACAGCACTAATCACTTGAGAGATAATGAAATGTGCACTCAGGCTACTTTGCATTTGCTCCAGCTGTCATTTATATCTTCAGCAAGACACATGTTAAAAAGGGCCACAAATCAAACGAGCGAGGGGACCCTACTCTGTCATCTAATTTAATTTAAATATGAATTCACAGGAGACTCCATACACATGCAAAATAATGTCATTCATTAAGCCAACAATAGAAGAGGTGGACAGAACAGGACATATTAGATGCTGTACATTAAATACACAAAAACATGTGTGTTGTTGTTGTTGCCAGTTCCATTTCTAATATGAACTTGCATCAGGATGATTGAGAAAGTGATTGTGACAGCACTTTCCAATATTAAACTTATAATACTAATATTCATATCGCATTTATTATGCTAAAGTCAGAGATTTTATTACCTAATTACTGCTCTTCTGTACGCTAAAGCTAGAGATTTTATACTTGCTACTTTATTATGCTACAGCTAGAGATGTTATACTAGCTTCTTTATTATGCTACAGCTAGAGATGTTATACTTGCTTCTTTATTATGCTACAGCTAGAGATGTTATACTTGCTTCTTTATTATGCTACAGCTAGAGATGTTATACTAGCTTCTTTATTATGCTACAGCTAGAGATGTTATACTTGCTTCTTTATTATGCTACAGCTAGAGATGTTATACTTGCTTCTTTATTATGCTACAGCTAGAGATGTTATACTTGCTTCTTTATTATGCTACAGCTAGATATGTTATACTTGCTTCTTTATTATGCTACAGCTAGAGATGTTATACTTGCTTCTTTATTATGCTACAGCTAGAGATGTTATACTAGCTTCTTTATTATGCTACAGCTAGAGATGTTATACTAGCTTCTTTATTATGCTACAGCTAGAGATGTTATACTTGCTTCTTTATTATGCTACAGCTAGAGATGTTATACTTGCTTCTTTATTATGCTACAGCTAGAGATGTTATACTTGCTTCTTTATTATGCTACAGCTAGATATGTTATACTTGCTTCTTTATTATGCTACAGCTAGAGATGTTATACTTGCTTCTTTATTATGCTACAGCTAGATATGTTATACTTGCTTCTTTATTATGCTACAGCTAGAGATGTTATACTTGCTTCTTTATTATGCTACAGTTAGAGATGTTATACTTGCTTCTTTAATATGCTAAAGCTTAGAGATTTTATACTTGCTTCTTTAATTATGCTAAAGTTAGAGATGTTATACTTGCTTCTTTAATATGCTAAAGTTAGAGATTTTATACTTGCTTCTTTATTATGCTAAAGCTAGAGATTTTATACTTGCTTCTTTATTATGCTACAAGCTAGAGATTTTATACTTGCTTCTTTATTATGCTAAAGCTAGAGATGTTATACTTGCTTCTTTATTATGCTACAGCTAGAGATGTTATACTAGCTTCTTTATTATGCTACAGCTAGAGATGTTATACTTGCTTCTTTATTATGCTACAGCTAGAGATGTTATACTTGCTTCTTTATTATGCTACAGCTAGAGATGTTATACTTGCTTCTTTATTATGCTACAGCTAGATATGTTATACTTGCTTCTTTATTATGCTACAGCTAGAGATGTTATACTTGCTTCTTTATTATGCTACAGCTAGAGATGTTATACTTGCTTCTTTATTATGCTACAGCTAGAGATGTTATACTTGCTTCTTTATTATGCTACAGCTAGAGATGTTATACTAGCTTCTTTATTATGCTACAGCTAGAGATGTTATACTTGCTTCTTTATTATGCTACAGCTAGAGATGTTATACTTGCTTCTTTATTATGCTACAGCTAGAGATGTTATACTTGCTTCTTTATTATGCTACAGCTAGATATGTTATACTTGCTTCTTTATTATGCTACAGCTAGAGATGTTATACTTGCTTCTTTATTATGCTACAGCTAGAGATGTTATACTTGCTTCTTTATTATGCTACAGCTAGAGATGTTATACTTGCTTCTTTATTATGCTACAGCTAGAGATGTTATACTAGCTTCTTTATTATGCTACAGCTAGAGATGTTATACTTGCTTCTTTATTATGCTACAGCTAGAGATGTTATACTTGCTTCTTTATTATGCTACAGCTAGAGATGTTATACTTGCTTCTTTATTATGCTACAGCTAGAGATGTTATACTTGCTTCTTTATTATGCTACAGCTAGAGATGTTATACTTGCTTCTTTATTATGCTACAGCTAGAGATGTTATACTTGCTTCTTTATTATGCTACAGCTAGAGATGTTATACTTGCTTCTTTATTATGCTACAGCTTGGTTCAGGACCGTGGACAGAGCCAGGTCATCATCACGACAGAGGGCATGATGGGCATGAATGGGCAACATAGACCACAGCATCTCAGACCAGATCCACCAGCTGTTTATGAAAGAGAAAGAAGAACCTCAAAGAATGGTGGTGCAGGAGGCCAGAGATATATGTTCTCTAGGGAATAGCCATGTCCCCACAGTCTTCTGCCATCATCCCTGTGCTGCACGTATAATACTCAACAGCATCATGAGACAAGTTCACATACTGTATATGACTATAGCTTCCTGATGTTACTAATTCAAGCTTTGCCAAGTGAATACTGGCAACATATACTGTAGGCGTCTCATTCACAAACCACATGCTAGCTAAATATTCTAATAATAACAATGCATAATAATTACAAGTGCGGGTCAGAGGCTATTTATTTATCCTCAAAACAAACGGTACTGCTCCATAAGCCTTCTTTAATTGGGAGAGGTTGCATGTGCATTGATACTGACCAGTCTCCCATCTTGCCGGTTAGCCGTTAGAACCGATTGAATGCATTCAGTTCCCAAACTCTTCACAAAGACAGTTAATGGTGAATGGGATTTTAATATTAGAACAACATATTACCAGATTGAATGATTATCCCGGTCCTCTTACGTCTTCAAAACACGATCATTGTCCCGGGCGGTCCGATCGCCAGATGGAGTCAAAAGAACGGCCAGTAACGTCTGTGTAGCAGCTCTGAGTTTCCGGGTTATTTTCTTGTTTCAAAATAAAATATTTATTTGTAATATTTTTTTTCATTCCATCATGTTATGGTATATTTAACATAGAATAAATATGTATATGTATATTTTTGGTGCATTTCAAAAATAAATAAAACACGTTGGGATCAGAAATAAAGCGTTTGACTTATTATTATAAAACTGTAATTACATTTGTATATAAAATCATTAATCATACATGGATATAACTTCGCCTGGTCTCACCATAACATTGTACAAATTTCATTCCGTACATGTAGGGAAATAATAATTGACCGGAGTTTACGGATGGCTAAGACCAGGCTTGAAATAAATGCTCCTTCATTATGCTAAAGTTAGAGATTGCATACTTTCTTATTTATTATTTTAAGTTAGAGACTTTATACTTGCTTATTTTTTATTATGCTAAAGATGGAGATTGTATTTGATTTAAGCACAAGATAGAGTTATTGTTCACTTATCTTGTGCTGTGTGCTCCTCATTCCTACTTCTATTGCTCTGTAACTAATGATGCAACACTGAAATTTCCCCACTGTGGGACGAATATAGTATCTGTTAATCTTTGACTGCAATAAATCCACACTCCAACACATGTTTCTGTTTTTGATGTCAATATATAATTTGTTATTCTCATACTTTTATTGACTCCAACATGATTATTATCAAAGTGTAATAATACTTCGTAGCACACGATGGCGCACTTTCGGAGCTCGTAGGTCACGTGGATAAAACTTCCGGATCCTCCACCGGTCGTTCTTTCCGGCTCCGGTTACTTATCACCGCAAAGGTAAAATCTAACTGTGAGAAAGAATCCACATAAATCTGCATCATCGCACTCACATTAAACTTTTTACGTGACCCATACATATATCTACACAGTTATTAACACATATCTAGGCATATTTTGCCACTGACGCATGAAAACTGCTCAGATTTGGTGTGTGGATGGAGAGAGTGTCGGGGTGGTTAGCATCGCCGCTCTTATCTCAAATGCTACACTTTCCACTATTTCTTGTTAATACGGCACATCGTGTGAGACTACATGGATATAATACTGGCATGGCTAATACTGTAGTCGCTTATATAGAGTAGGGTACTGTGATATGTGGTGGCTAACCCGGTTTGGCTAACTGTCTCTGTCGTACAGATGCTGATGCCCAAGAAGAATCGTATCGCCATCTATGAACTCCTGTTCAAGGAAGGAGTCATGGTGGCCAAAAAGGACGTCCACCTGGCCAAACATCCCGAGCTGGCTGATAAGAACGTGCCCAACCTCCATGTGATGAAGGCGATGCAGGTGAGCGAGCTAAGTTTTGTATAAGCGGGTACCTCAACGTCTGGCCCATGGATTGTTTGTATCATTTTGATCTGTAACCAATTGGTTCTTTATTAGTGCCATAAATTGTGTGCGTGTGCCTCAAGAATATAAATTCTTAGAATATTCTGTATTCTCTAAAAATCATTTGGGCTCTAGTGTAATGTGTGAAGGAGTATATTAATTATTGATCCATGTGTAGATACCTACATTTATGTACTATGATCTAAGGACACTATCAATGATACTCAATCCAAAGGGTAGGGATGCTTATTGGTGAATGAGCCAATTTAGCTTTTTATTACTATGGCATTGTGGGATTAGTGTTAAGCATTAACCAGGTTTTTTATTTTTTTACTGCCTCTAAAATTTTGTTACATGTGGCAGCCCATATTATTATCAATACTTGCATTACAGCGATGTCTTTTTATTTCAGTCTCTGAAGTCCTGTGGGTATGTCAAGGAGCAGTTTGCCTGGCGTCATTTTTACTGGTACCTTACAAATGAGGGTATTCAGTATCTGAGAGACTTCCTCCACCTTCCCCCAGAGATTGTGCCTGCCACTCTGCGCCGCCAGACACGCCCTGAGACTGCAAGGCCGAGACCCAAGGGTGAGGACTCTTGTGATGCTGCTTTAGCCTCGTCATGGGTATTGTTCTAGTTAAGTCAAAATATTGACTATCATTTTGCTAATGGCCTTCACCAGAATAACTTTGGCCTTCTGAACATGTAACTAGTTTTCTTTCTAGTGAATTCAGTCTGAAATATGTGGTTATTATAATGTGTCAGAATACAGTTCTATATTGACAATTTGTTACAGGTTGGTCTTACTCTTCCATGAAATGCGCATGCCTGTGCCATAAATTTACTGTCGTTCATGGGCTAAGGTTTTTGAGCTTGTACATTTTCAGGAATGGAAGGAGAGAGGCCCGCTCGCCTTAACCGTGGTGAGGCTGACCGAGACGCATACAGGAGATCTGCTGCTCCTCGTAAGTACTGCTCCTGCTTCATGTGCCATAAAGTGCTCACCTGGGCCGTTATGTGTGTTTGGAGATGACTGCTCTCGTCCCTATATCCATGACCGGCTTTGTTCTTTTTGTCAAACTGACTGAGGCTTTAATCCAGGAGGGAGTGTGTTCTGGAGGCAATAGTGTGTCTTGTTCATGTTTTTGTAAATGTGCTATTAGACAACATTTCAAAGTGTAATTTAAGAAACAATTGAATTTGTATAGTGTATATTCTCATTTTATCCTTGGGCTGAATTGGAAATGGGTAATCTCATGGTGGCAATGGTGTCTTGATTGAATCAGAGTAAAGATTAATATGAATATTACTTAAAGTAATTTGAGATCCCTTTAGCTTTTAGTGTGAATTAAGGATGGTGTCAAATGAGCTAATATTTTCTGGTCATGTCTAACCAGGAAGTCTATTTTATAAACTACCCATTTAAAAACGGAATAAATCTATTAAATGTCTGTTGGCTTAATGCACTTCCTTTTTGCAGCTGGTGCAGACAAAAAGGCAGAGGCTGGTGCTGGAGCTGCCACAGAGTTCCAGTTTGTAAGTGTCACACACAGTATTTGTTTATACGAGTGTTCAATCTGTACTCGACTAACAAGGTTCTCTCTTGCAGAGGGGCGGCTTTGGTCGTGGCAGAGGACAGCCGCCTCAATAAATTTTCGTTTATGTATAATAAAGAAAAGTGGAAAAACCCATGAACATTGATTTATTTACAAAAAGGTGAAGGTATTTTTACATTTTAGGGGAAGATTACTGTAAAGTAAAACTGTATAAATGTTTTTAGTGTTGTCAGATCCTACCTTCAGTGTAAAGTATTTATGATCAAGAATCCTGTTTTACATCATGCTCCCATTTTAAACCAGGATGTGAAAATGTACTTCATTACCACATCTCTTAACAATGGATGTAGATCTTAGTCCTCATCTGCTGTTATCACCAGGATATAAACTACATAGAAAATCAGTGGTTCAAAACTTTGCCATTAAACATTCTAAAGCGTGCGACTTATGCTGTATATGGCTATTAAAGCCTGTCTTGAACTATTTGTAGACCACTGAGCGCTAATTATCACAGTGCTAAATCTCTTAACCTTGTGCCAGTTATTAAACACTCAATTTCTTTTGGACTTTAAGTACAAAGTACTCTAATCAGACTAGTCCTGAGGGTAGCACAAGGATCAAGGCTGATGCAGATGGCAGTTGCCTACACAATTGTTAAATACACATGCATTGAAAGGATGAGTAATTTGCTTTCTTTGACCAGCTCTTTCAAGCCTTTTATAAACTGCATTTCTGTCCCAAGTTGCACATTGAGTGTACATAAACACGTCAGGAAATATGACCCGATGAAGTGTGAAATACTGGTGTTTATTGTTGGCACATTTATATTACAATCTTCAGTCTTCTCACACTGGTTTCATTCTACAGTCCCAAATGACTGAAAATAATTCCAGTGACAATGTTTAATTTCAAGGCTGAGGTCAGTGGCTGAAGGTATGATGGGATGGTCTGGAATATTTAACAGCTATTAAGCTATGAGATGTATAAGCGCGTATGGTTGTTGTACACCTTTACTAGTCTAATCTACCCTTTTAAATTTGGTTATATTCCCTTCAATACTGGATGTATTAAAATAGATGACAGCCAGGCAGTTTAGATGGATATACGTAAACTGAGACCTTACCTCCTGTGGCAAAACTTGATCAGTTGTAGATTTCAGTATGTTCATCGAATGCCACAAAAGCGGCTTAACAGATTTGTCAAAGCGATCATTTCAACATTAAACATACCGCTCACCTGTCTATAATTTATCGGAATACATATTGTGGATTAAGAGTTTGAAATAAAAGACCATATTACTGTTAGAAGCATTGTTCAAAACCTTAGGGAGCTTGCCTGTTTGCATTTGGGACTATTTAAGTTTTAGACTGAGATTTCAGCCACATTCCTTTTTGCAGCAGAAGTGCCAAACATAACTCCAAAGTCACGTTTGGTTCCTCCACCTGCAGCCTAATTTGAAATGACATGGAACACCCACACAAGTGTCCTTAGCACTCAGGTTTGATCTATACAGAAATAAACAATTTATAATAAAAACTTCTTTCATGCTATCTACAGAACCTTCAGTTTCACAGTATTGCGCCAGCTGCTTCACGCTAAGGCACATGTAGCAGCTAAGCTAAAGAGACTTTCCAGACATTAAAGAAACAAGAGTATCTAAAGCATTTTACATGTTAGGAACAAGGTCTTCACTGTACAAGGCCCGTTTGATCTGCATCTTGCCAAAAACAGCATTATAGATTACTTTCAATGTCAAACTGATCTTTAAAGTTGTTTGGGGATGCACTTTAAATACTAAAAAAATTGATATCCATAATGAAAGTGCCCACTAAAGTTAAAAGAATGTAAACAATTGATACAAAAAAAAAAAAAGACTTAGAAGAAATTGAATGGCAAATTCTGGAGACAGTTTCAATAACTTATGTGATATGTGCTGCAAGTCCATGATCAGAGTGTTGAGGAAGACTTAGACACACCAAGTTAACATAAAAACAAGGATTGGACAGCGGTAAAGATACTGAAAATGGGGGAAATTCTACACTGTGTTGACATTCTCCCAGTTATGCTTAAAACGAGTAGACTCCAAGAGTCTTGTGTTTGACTAGTTTCTTGAGTTGGAAACAAAGTCTAGGTATTGAATTGAGCGTTATCCTGTGGATAAAAGCCACAACAATAACCTGCGACCCCAGCACAAGTCAACATCATCAGCTCACTCCATTAAGTGAACATTGAACAGTGCTCATGCAAGACGGATAGAGGAAAAGCCTATCCCTCGAGGGGAAGGAGAAACACTAATGGGCACATTCATTCACAAACCCCCCCCCCCCCCCCCCCAAAAAAAAAAAATTAAACGACGTTGAAAGACATCCAAAAGCGTTCAGCGCAACTAGATATACACTTTACATTACAACAGTAGAAAGTAGTTCTTGCATTCAATAAACATCACGCTATGTTGGAGAGAATGATAGAGGCCAAGGGACATGCAGTAAGTACAAAGAAAATGTTCGGTCATAAAATTACATTTACAAAGTTTTCAGACTATTCACCCAAAACTTGTCATCAAGTCTGTGCCGTATTCTGGCACAAAGGAGTTGGCAAGGCAAATCATGTCATTGAAACAAAATAAGATAGAAATTACACAATTATAAGAGCGCAAGTGGTGGCGAAAGCTCCAAGTGGCATCAGGGCCATGGTTTTAGTTATCTGATACCCGACACGGAGCTCTGATTGATGCTGTAGGTAGGGGACAAGTCGCTACCTATCGTGGTCACCAGAGGCGTCCCATTGGTGGTTAGGCAGCTCCCTTGAAGTGCTTCCAAGTAGGTGGCCTGCACAGGCTTGTGACATTGCAACACTTGTATGGCATCGTCTACTTTAAACCATTCCCTTTTTCTACCTGTGGACAGAACAACAGACGAGTGTAAGAATGATGGAGTGACATAAAAGAATACAGTGAATTGAATTGAATTTATTTCTTTATTTCAAAACCTGCACAGAAGACACATTTGACAAATGTTCAGACACATATGTTCAAGGTTTGAAAAGGGGTTGGATGAAGCACTATGCTTATTTTAGCCCAACCCTCTCACCCACACAGTGGAGCTGTGTAGAGGAGGCTTTGATTTATTTGAAGTCAATTTGAAGCAAGCAATTAGAGAAGAAATATTAGCATCATTTGTGGCCAATAAAAATGCGAATTAAACTATTAACCTTGTCATTTCATGTTTTAGAATGATAAATAAGATAGTGAAAAGTTATTGTTAAAACAGTTTTGTTTTTGTTTTTTTTATAAAAAAAATAAAAATAGTGCTGATAGTAGTGTGGAAGTTTTTGATGTAGAACAATGTTGCAACCTCAAATAAGTCCATTTTGCATCATATGTCTCCTTTAAAAACAATGAAATATAAATTATCTACAAATTAACAGATGCGATGCATTACCAATATTGACGGAATCCTCCCAGTCCTCCAGCACTTCTGTTACAATCAGCACATACACATAAGTTCTGTGCTTCCTCTCGAGATTCTGACATGAGATAAGAAAAAACACAACATATATAACCATTTTCCAAAATGCACTGGTTAAGAATACTTCAGTGAACTTCAATCTACCTCAAATACTCCAACTAAACGTCCTAACGTCCCCTTCACTCCAGCCTGTAAGAATTAAGATTAGGAATGTTAACCTGACCTGGGGAAAGTGTAGTCAAGAATACAAGCCCGAAAACTCTTTATTACAATAATAACATTCAAAATACTAGTAAGCACTATTCCAAAATTCTCATTTCATACCTTCATAATTAAACGCAACCTTGGATCACAGACAGTGCTTCAGTATTCACAGACAAACGCCCAAAATAAGACTTGGGTTTACTTTATTTACATACACTATAAACTGATAATATATTATGAACTGAAACTGATAATATATTATGAACTATCTCACAGTCTAGACCAGGACTAAAGCAAGTCTGTTCTGGACCTTCAGGTCTCAGCCAAATCTGAACTTGGACTTGACAGGTTTAAACAAGAATAAACCAGAACTCAAGGAGGGCTACCTAACCATTAGCTTGCAGATTACTGAGAAAAATAAATGCAAATAATAAACCCATCATCTCATTGTTTTGTATATATTTCATAAATACACACATATTTCATAGATATTTAGCTAGATAGAGAGATATGTTGATGGGACTTCATCAGTGTATTTTCAGATGGCTCCCCGTGACTTGCATGTTGAGAAACACTGGTGTAGACAACCTTTGAGGGCCCCACTTTGAGAAAGTAATCCTGGTAAATGCTTTATTTCGCGTGTTCTCGCCTTTTATCATATGGTGTTGTTTGATACTTGACCAGTGCACTAGTTTGAACATCTTTGCAGCTTCTCCTGGTTCCAGTTCCAGTCTAAAAATAATCTTTACTTCATGTCCTGTACCATACACTCATTTTCACAGCCAGGAAGATCAAATCCCCCCAGCCCACCCCCAAAAGCTAGAAAAGCTTAAAAAGGATGCCAATGGATTAGGTCACAGGTTCGAGTGTGCCAGGACTTAATAACACACAACATTTTTCATAGATCAAGTACTACTATAACACCTCACAGCTAGACTGAGGCTGTGGTAATAAAACACTTGTTTACAACATTTGTTGCTGTTGGCTACAAGGCCATAAAAGAAGATTCAAACCTTTGACTTTCTTTTGATTCTGCACTGTCACCTTGGCATGTATTCAAAACGAATGACTCTGGTCATCAGAATCAGCTTGTAAGGATTAGGAACGGTCCCCGCTACACTACCGACTAATAAGAGGCTTAAGCCAGCACAAGTGGTGAACTGTGTATCCAAGAAATACAGAGATTCTTCAAAGTGCAAAAGTACCTTTTTTGATTCAGCTGCAACTTAATTAACTGTCAAAAGACATGGCATCATGACTGCAGAACCATTGTGCGAGCTGTCTGAATAGGGTCAGTTTCATGATAACTAGTGAAATTCTATCCCATTATTATCCCCATAATTTGCATGTGTTCCAAAACAAACCCACCTCTTCACAAACTTCTCGAGCTGCAGCAACATTGGGCTCCTCTTCTGGCTCCATTCCTCCTCCAGGAACTATCCATTTATCAGGATGCCGACTGCTGCTCACCAGAAGCACCTGTAACACATTGTTAACACGTTTAGGTAGCAGATAAAAAAAAAACACTTACAATTTCTCATGAACTATTACACATTTGTGCGTATTTATCTTCCAACACTTCAGTTTCGATCATAAAGTACACACGGAAGGGTTGTCTGTAACAACGGAATCACTGACATACGACATTGCTCCTCTTTAAATAATCTGCTACATACATTTATACTTGTTTATAGTCTCGGACATGAGATTGGTTATTTCAGCTAATTCACATCTGAAACAAATGTGTGCTTGGTGGTAGTTTTGTTGGTGGCGTGTGTCGGTGAGCCCTCAGGGGAAAATACTGGTAAAACGGTAACATAACCTTTTGCTTTTACTGACCATTTGATCAGGTTATATAACAGCTACATGTAGCAAGAGAATGGAAGGGGGGCATTGCCCAGCTAACAAATGTGAAAACAAATGTCGACGTTATAAACATTAGCTAGCTTAAACACATGCCTGGATTCTAGCGTGACGCCAGAGTTGGTAAAGGCCAAATGAACACACAACGCAGACAATCGCATATACAATGCTAATGTATGGCCTTTACAACGATAGATTAAGACGGGGTTTGAACTGACAGATTGTCGTGGCTGCCAGAGAAGCATACTGTTCGATAGTGTTAGCATAGTGCTAGCTAGCTCTATCTTAACAGGTCGTTTTGTCGCAGGTCTGCTCTGAATGCACTGATGCTAACAGTTAGCGTTAGCGCCAATGTGCTACACATGCTTACATAATATAGTGGCGTTAAAGACAAAGTTACTCGGATTAGCACTAAATGTCTAGCATCATAGGCGAACCGTGAATTTGTGATTTTGTTTAAGTCGACCACAAGACCAGCATTCTTGAGGGTGAGAGTGTATTTTGGAGTATCCCTGTAAAGCCGCTGTCAGAGCTAAGGCTAGCTGAGGATAGCTTAGGATAACTGGGCCTAGCAGCCAGCTCATCCCCCGGCTTACCTCCTCTTCGCTCTCGCTTCTGAAGCACAGGCAGGCGGCCCGCTTCTTGAACCCGTCCCCGTCATAAGTCCGAGTCTGGTTTGACTTGAGCTTCATCATTTTGAGAGCACAATAGGAGGATCACACAGCGACGTCCGGCTCGATTAAAGGTGACGCTGAAAGACGCAAAGTCCTCCTGGGGAAAACCTCGGCGCGTTAGTTAACAGAAATAACTTCTTCTCCGCTTCATTTTCAAAACCTTAGGCAGAGCTACGGCACGGTCGCCATTACAAGGATCCGCTACGCCTACGACGTAATTTAACCTTTAAAAGATCGGGCACCGTATGAAAGATGCCTACTTGATGTTGGAGAATGGAGACCACCACTACGTGCCAAACGCAACAGCACGACACGGCTTTTGAAGCACAAGCAGTCATCCGTCAGCTCTGATGACATGAGCCTTTTAACTTTAACTCATTGCTGTAGTTAGAAATAACATGTTCTGTGGAAGAACAAACGCAATCATCTATTCACAGTTACATAACTGCCTGAAATTCTGCTTCAGCACCCCATGTAATGGACAGCGCCCTTTCCATGGGAAACCTTTGGCAAAATATGTCTTGTGCTTTCTCGACATTTTTGTTTCTTCTTAATGTTACTATTTACATTACTACTAATATTAGTATTACTTTTATAATATTTTTACCGAGTCGCTTTATTTCTCATATTTGGCAAGATCCTGCAGGAACGGATTGTTTAACTATTAAAACTAAATAGTGATATTTTCCATTATCATTTTTTTTTTATTATCATTGATAATAACCAGTGAAAAACCGTATGAAGAGCTTCAAGATATTTCTTACTCATAGTCTTTTGTACTTTGTATATAAATCGGGTGAGTTGCACTTTGCGGTTCATATAACAAACAACACGCTTCACTAGTTTTGCTACATAGGTGAATCTTGTCTTCCCCACATATGCCCATTTTCTAATGTGACTTACTGCTATGAATGTGTGAAAGTTGCTAAACGTTAACATTAAACTTAAAACATACGATGTGCAGTGTTTCTACTTGTCTATGAAACAATTGCTTGTTTGGTGATCTATGAAGAGATGGTACTCTAGTGTGTAGTTTACAGGTGTCTGAAGCTGGCACAATTCCGTTAGAGGGCGCTCTCTTGCTACAATCACAGTAGCAAGATTGTACTGTGTTGGGTGTAACTTAAAATGTTATCTAATTATAGTAAGTAAGTAGTGTAATTAATTACTTTGACAGCAGTTGCAAGAACAAATGATAACTATCGTATTTATTTCATTTTTAAGTTACAAATTACATTATTAGTTATTGCAAAGATTTAGAATAAGAGATCCTTTATAGAACAGAAGGAATGAGGAGCACACAAGATAAATTAACATTAACTAGCATGGTGAAGCAAGAATTAAGTGTAAAATTTCTAAATTTCGCATGACAAAGAAACAAGTACAACATGCTGCATATTCTAGTGCAAGAAATGTACAGTTTTATGTATAACAGCATGAGGGTATGAGTAGAGTAGCTCAAAGCAAGGCTGAGACAATTGCGATTAGTTTCTCATTAGCTAATAATGCTATGCCCCATACCACATGTAGAGGAAAGTGAGGCAACCAGGCAAGATACTGTGAACATTAACCTTTGCAACCATGCTTCTCTCCTCCTGAGTATGCATATTAATGACTAAATAAGCAAGTGATTGTGTTGTTCTGCCTTGGGCCACAGAAGATTGTTTTTAGCAAACACGAGAAAAGCAATTTACGGGACAAAATTTTCGAAGGACTTAAAGTAACAGTTGTTTGTCAATGAACATCCACATTCAGTTATGTTGTCATTTAGTTAACTGCTCAAATAAACTAAAACTAACTAACTAAAAAGACAGTGGATCAGAAAATTGGTCTGATTATTCTTCATCACGGGTGCATGGCAGTTTTGCATAATATGTTTATTATAATTGTGTGTACAGAATTTGTAATAAAGATGGCTGCAGAATATCCCTCTACATGCGGAAAATGCATTAAGACATTTTAACAGACAACCTTTTAAAAGACATATTAAGCTCCTTAGAATTTGAACAGTTTACATACCCTTGGTGGCCAGATGGGGGTACTCTGAGGCCAGTTTATTCTTTTACATAGATTGTGGAAATTAGATCAAACTCATCCCCACATCTTATAGAGTGTTGCGACATTGCATATCTAGGGTAGAGGACTGAAACATTTTGAAAAGGGGTTTCAGTCCATCCTCTATCTATGGTAGAGGATGGACTGAAACGTTTTGAAAAAGGGTTGGATATAGTAAATGTGTGTATAGAAGTACAACCCTCTTCACTCATTCAACACAGATATGTCAAAACAAACAAATAAAAAAATAGACAAAAAACAACAGAAGAATAGAAACACAATATCATATAGGGTACAAGACACACAAACACTGATCCAAATACGCTTACCCAACACTCTTCCCTCAATACTCAATGTACTAAAGCCATTTTTTCTCTTACTTTAGTACTATTTTTGTATATGCATAATATACAGTGTTTAAATCAGCGTTGGACCTGTATTTAAATAATCTGTTTGAAAAAGTAGCTCTCTATTCTAAGTAAAGTAGCTATAAATGTAAGTACATACACTTTTTTTGTTTCCTCTATAGTCTGTGATTACGATGCGATAATAACTTTTCTATAGTTTGGGTGTTCAAAGACAGCTGCCCTGGGGCACTCTGACAGAATTGAGGAAACCAGTACCATCACCAATGTTTCACTCACACACCAGACTAATTCTAGACAATTTGGGTTAAGCGTCTTGCCTAAGGACACAACAACAGTTTGGCACTGCTGCTGCACCACTGTGGCACTGTTCTTTCCTAGCGGTCTCCCATAACAGTACTAACCAGGCCTGACTCTGCTTAGCTTCAGAGGGCTGACAAGACCCTACGTCATTATTGTATGTCGATCAGGAATAGTGTTGTTCCCAGTATTCACCTTATGGTACTCCACAGGTTATGGCCCTACCACTTTTTTTTCTGGTCAATGTTGTCTCTTGAACCATTTAATTGCCAGTCCCCTTATGCCCAATCATAACCCTCATGCTATAGTGTTCCATTTTGTCTATTAAGATACAATGCTCACCTGTCTCAAAAGCTTTGAGGATACATAAAAAAAAATCCACAATCTTCTTCCGTGCAGCTAATTCAATGTGTGTGAAGAAGTTTCATTTCGCCTAAACCCACATTTGTTATTGGACAATAAATTATGATTCTTTTGCCAAATAAGTATCCCAGCATTTTGGAAAACCTTGGCGGCAGTGCTTTACAGGCTTGTTGAAGTCTCTTTAAATTCATCTGGGATACATTTTTGCCTGGTTCTGTCACTGTGTAAAATGTAGTAATTTGCTGAGTTTTCAAAATGGTCTCCGCAGCAAACAGAAGTCACGTGACTGAAACCCAAGACACAACATTTATCAGGCGGTGGATATTATTTTTAAATCTTCCTTTCAGTGTAACAGCATGTTTCCTGGTTTCACTGCCAACTACAATTATTAAAGTTACTTCAGAAAAAGGTAAGTCACTTCAAACAGTTTGCTACAAAGTGAAGTAATTTCCATCAAAGTCAGTCAGTGTCGCATTTCTGACTAATTAGGATTAGAAGCCCATTTAATTTAATTGGAGTCCGTAATAAAAAGTGTACATGGACTGACTCAACAACAAATGTTTAAAGAAATCCCACAGTAGAAATAACTTGATGGACTAAAAGAACAACAATGAGATTCTGACCTCATGAGGCCATTTTACAGCATAAGATAATCACCTTAACTCGCTGTAACCGCTTATGACTCCTCGCTTTTACATTTTCACCAGCTCCCTCGGTGCCCGTGGAATTGGAGATGGCTGCATTTAGCTGATTGTGCTTCTGTGGTTATGCTCTTTCACCAGCATTTTCCTCCTGACTCGAATTAACATTTCTTAAATTCTTTCCACCCCATTGCTAATTGAACTATGTAATCTCAGTTTGCCTTGTGTTTTGGGAATCCAAGGGTCCTACTTGCTCTGGTTTGACAAGATGTCTCCACAGAAAACCTGAGCGGAATAACCAGCTCTCATGGTGCACCCATTCCCCTCGGTTGAATAATTCACTTATTACATTATGCAACTAAAAAGTGGAAAAACCTTAGGAGGGTAAATTATTCAATTGTGTTGAATAGTATGTTGCGGTTGGCTGTATGTGCATGTGCATGACTTATAGAGATTCCCAGTTGTCAGTCAGTGCGTGATTCAAATTGGAATTTGCGATAGCAGCGGTGGAGATGAATATTCAGGGCTCAGCTGCTCCGAGGACCACAGGGACCCCCACTGTAAAGGAGGCTGCCTATTCATCTGCACATACAAAGCACAGGCATGTGAGGTTCTGTTAAAAAGGTACGTGAGTAGATATAGTTTTTTCTATCAAACACACAAAAGCACAAAGATGAGTGCTTCATCCAACAGTTCAAACAAAAGGATATGAGTGATGAAAAAACACATGAACCAATGGTCCATAATAGGCATGTGTCCCTACATATTGATCAAATCCATATATGTGGTCGAATGTCATCTCCCTCCTCTGGACCCTGATTCTCTGACCGGTTAACAAAAATTAAAGGAACTTGATCAAATTTACATTTATTTGTGTTTCACGCATAATATCGGTGTATTTGGCCCGCGGCCCACTGGCAATTTTTTACTTTGGCCCTTTGGAGGCAAAATGTTTGGGCACCCCTGCTGTAGAATGAGGATTGAGGCTGCCCGATGTAGGCTTTGTGACTGTACACAGTTTATTATAAGTGTGTTTCCGATCATGTTTATGTGGAGCTGATATTTATGTGTTATTTATTGTAATTGTTATTACTATTTTCAAACGTGAGAATAGGTACCCACACCCATAGAGCACAATTTGGATCAGTTTTACGCTGCATGTTTGAGAGTTTACAAGTCATTTATGTGAGATGGATCTTGGTCTATGTCCTACAGACAACAGTTACATCTCCCATCACAGTAACTAACTTGCCCTTGCCCTGCTTACCATGAGTTTAGTTGTTTCACTATTTTCATT